TTGAGCAGAATGTGAGTTTAACTTGAGCAGAATGTGAGTTTAACCTGAGCCGAATGTGAGTTAACTTGAACAAAATATGAGTTAATTTACAGGGAAATTAACTGGTGTGCAGGGAAACAGCTCCCAAGAAGACCCTGGAAAATTCCATACCCAGATCCCGGATGATTTCTTTCACCATGAACTTCAGCATCCCCCTGCTGTGCTCTGGATGCAGGAAGGACAGGAATTCCTCCTCATTCAACAGCAGGTCAGGAGGGGGGTTGTCAGCCTGGTACCACCGATCCTTCAGGTTGTCTAAAACTTCCTGGGCTGCAAATTTAACAACATTTAAGTCGTTGTCACATCCAATCTATTTAAAATACACCTTGCCCTGACACTCAGTTGATGCTCCACGAGCCAAAACCCTCCACGTGTTTCAGTTTGCATTTAATGCAAACGAAATGTTCTTGCTGCAAAGAGCAAATGCAAGTTGAAGTTCCTATGAATCAACAGATAAATCAGCAGCAAAATCCTTTTACTTCTCTCTTCTTTCATTTCACAATCCCACTCCTTTCATCTTGCACCGTGCACACAACCACTCAAGTGAAGTTTTTTCCTCCCTCGACCGAGAAGCAGAATTTACCCCCCCGAGTTTCTGCTAAAACCACACATCTGATTTGAAATCAAACCCACACAGCACGAATTTGGCTGCACCTCCCGGGCCTGAACGGAGCCACAGGAAAAGAAATACCTGCCCAAAGTATTCTTTGTCTCGTGTAGGCATTTTCTAAATGACACACTGGAAAAAACTCTGTCTGTAGCACTCCCTGCTACCTGCAAATACACTGAAACACAAGTCTGAAGTATTTGCTTTCAGTAAGTTTTCAAACACTCTGAGTGTTATTTATCACTCAGAGGGTTAATAAATATTTTTTTGTTTAATAAAATAATTTTATTTAATAAAATAAATAATTTTTAAAATTTCATTTAATAATTTTTTTATTTCATTTAATAATTTTTTTATTTCATTTAATCGTCTTAAATAACTCCTGAACTCTTCATCAATTTAAAACTTCAAACTTTATGAGTTCAAAACTTTAAGAAGTTTTAAAAACCTTCTGAAAGCCTTCAGATTATCATTTTTTACTTTAATTTAACAAACTGGCTTCAATAACTCCTGAAGGCTTTTGGTTGCTGAGTTACAAGAGGAAAAACCACCCCAACATCTGCATTTTTGAGCTGAGAGTTGGAATTTAGAGTGAAGTTTTCAGTGAAGAGTAAAGAAATCCTTCAGTCTTAATATGAAGATATTAAAAATCTTGGGCAGGTTTGTAACTAGCAAGTTTTAGTTATATCAAGGACATAGATGAGCTCAGAATAATCAAATCACTTATGGTTTTCCAAGGTAGTCAACCCCAACTGTGAGAAGTCCTAATTCAACTCCCTTTGCCTTAGTCTTAAATGAAATTAAAACTGCCAATCACCAGCTAAAATTGTTGTTATCTGCATAAATTAATTCAAGTGCTGCCCTTAATTTTGCCCTGGCATCCAAACTGTCCCGAGCTCCTGCTCAAGGCTCAGAACAAGCCTTGAGCTCTGAACATCTTGGTGTTTTTTATTAAACAGACCCCCCAAAAAAAGCACTTTTACACATAATTAGAGCACAATTTTGCCTCTCAGCCCAGGAAGCTGCAGAGAAGTAATTTGATTTTCCCAAATAAGGCTTGGTAGACAGGTAGAGAAGTGCTGGTGCAGCCACTTGCCTGACTCAGCAGATGTGTTATCTGATGAGCATTCCTGTAAATGCACCCAACCACACTGCCCAGGTGTTTTCCCTGCCAGAAACTCGAAGCTCCCATTTGCATCTCAGTTGCTTTTTGATCAATGGAAAGTGTCAAATAAACCCGCTTTTCAATGACTAATTCCTGCAGGGAAAGGCAAAAGCTTCGTGTTTTTACTGAACTGTAAATTTAAACATTTCTTGAGTCAAGGAGCAGGGAGATTCCTGCTAAAATCTGCCATTTTTATGGCACATTCCAGCTGGAAAGAATGTAGGATTTCTGTTTTATGACTCCTACATCCTATATTTGTGTACAAGCAGAACAACCAAAACATTAATCTTCTATTAGGAACAGTTTTGACATTCAGGTTTTAGGAACACAACAGAAAAACCAACACAGCCCAGTCTGCACTTACTTTCTTCATCTATTTTCAGCTCTTCATTGTTTTTGATCTTCTCAGCAATTTCTTTTTCATTAAAGCCTTTACTTGCCAGGAATTTAACTTTATATTCATCCCAGGACACGTGGCCTGCAAGGAAGAGACAGATGTCAGGCATGACACAAGAGGGTTAAATGATCAACTTGTGACTAAAAAAACCAACTCATTCCAAACCTTTTGGTCCAGCCCAAGCAGCAGACTGAGATTTATGAGTGGCAAGATGAAAACTATCACCTGATTCACTTTTCTTTTTGTCTGGGCTTCGTGGAAACAATCAGTGATGTCACTGTTGTCACCCCATCCCCACAGAGCCACTTGTTCCAGTGCCCTCTGACCACAAGTGACACAACAGAGCTCAGAACCACAGGCTGGGGCACAGCCCTTCCTTGTTACAGGAACGAAAAACTTGGGATTCTGGGCAGCCCAAAGGGATTTTGGATGTTCTCACAGCACCTCTGAGTAGTTGTGGACACCAGGAGGTGCAGGAATGGCTCCTCTTACCGTCCCCATCGGGGTCCACAGCCCTGAAGTGCATTTTGTTCTCTTCCACGGCCTCCTGGAAATGTTCATCCGTCTTTTCCATGATCCAGCGCTGCATCTCCTTGGCTCCAATCTTTTTATCATTATTTATATCCACCCTGGAGAAAGGGCAAATCCTCTGTTACACCTCCAACAGCTGAGAGTTTTTAATTCTTAACACATTGAAAGGTTCTGCACAAACACTTGTTCTCCACGAGCTTTCCAAGTTGTCTGGTTTTACTTTGGCCAAGATTTAAGGACTGAGGAGGAAAAGGTGCAATCTATTTTTAGATTCTAAATTAATTGCTTTATATTCAGCAATTACAAACTGGCTGAGAACATTTACAACCCTCTCTGAGAAGCTGCACAGTGTTGGAACTCCGGAGTAACAAGTAGGAATTAAGCAATTTATTGCCTAATTAAAGTAACTTCAACATTTAGTTATTCCTCAGTGAAACACATTCAGCCATCCTTCACTTCCCTGTAAATTAACTCATATTTTGTTCAAGTTAACTCACATTCTGCTCAAGTTTTAACTCACATTTATGTTTCTGAGGAAATTTTTCACACAGAGAGGAAACCACAGCTCATCACAAATGGAATATCGGCTCATTTCCTTTGGTTCAGAGCTGACAACTGCCAGCAGCTCCAGACTTTCACTAATTGCAAACATTTCTTCTCCAAAGTTCTCTCCTCAGCCAATAATTCCCTCTCCATTTGTCTTTCCAAGCCCTTTCTGCCTTTAATATTCCAAGCTCTCGGAGGTTTATTGCTGATTGTTCATCACAAACAATGAAAATACAAC